ATATGCTCAAGCTCCTTATCAATTAGTGGAATATAAATCAAAACTTCTTTGATATTTTGTATTTCACAAGAATATAAATCACAAGAAATGCAGGAATATATATGAGTTAAGGGGATTACAAACTGGTAATCCCTATGAAAATTAGTGTGGAGGATTTCTAAAAGTGTGGAAAGATATCTACACTGTTCTCTATGTCTATCAGTCCTGGGCATGTGTGTAAAAGACTGCGTATCCTACTGTAGAAATTCTTGAACATCTATGTTCATTGTTGCTCTATTCACAATAGTCTTGAAATGGAAGCAGCTTCAATGTCAATCAATTGATTAATGAATATTTTAACTGTGGTACATGTATACAACTAAATTTTATTTGGTGCAAATACAAATAGAATTATGGAATCTATATGTAATGGATGGATCTGGAATTACCATTCTGAATGAGGTAACCCAGACACAATAAGACAAAGTCAAATGCTTTCTCTTATATGCAAATGCTAGTTTTGAATCTTCAGGTGTCTCTACTTAACTAAAATACACATATTAGCCAGGACACTACTAAGGTGCAAAGGAGAGGGGATTTAACTTGCAGGGAAATAGAACACATGTGGTATGAAGAAGGGAAGGGAAATACTGGAGCAGGAAGGGTTAAGTAGCAAGTGATGGGGAGCAGACCAGAGGGAGTGTGTGAAGGAATAACTAACTCTAAGACCTTGGAGAAAGATTATGGAAATGTACTCCTATAGAAGCTTCCTAAATACATACACTTATAAAGCACTATTGCTGGGGGAGAATGCCTCTCCCAAGGATCATGAACCATTAAGCAAAAAGACAAGTGCTAGGTATGCGTTAACTGTCTTAAGTTGTTTGCAAATGTTTGTCCCTATACACCCAAACATGACCAGCTTTTCCTTTGCTCTTGGTTACGCTCCAGAATCTGATGGCAGGACCTGTTTAATGGGAACATCACATGGTTGAGTCACAGGACATGGAGTAATTAGGCTGTGGCTGACATGGAAATTTCATTCGTACCTGCAGCATCCACAGTAATGGAAAGTGTTATACACGTTAATAAAAAATGTAATAAACTGTCTAACACACCAGCAATCCCTGAAACCTACAATTATGACTGGCAGGAAAACATATGCCCACTGATGACATATCTTTACACTGGCATGAATATTATGGGAGTAACCCACAACATTCTTCTCAGGTTTAAGTCCAGCTCCAATAGTCACATAGCATGTCCCATTGACATAAGAAACTGTGGTTAGTTGTGTCATTTGTCCTAAATGAGAGCCTAATAATATTATTATGCTAAATAGACAAATATTTTACCTACCTGCTCAGTTCTTACCTTTAAATGGGAATCTCACTGCATACTTCCCTCAAAACTCAGAGAGGCTTCATTTTCCGATAAATGGTGTTCAGTACATAAACGTGTAAGTTTTATGTATAAAAAACTATGTATATATGTAAACCAACCAGATAATGAGAGATTGTGGAGCACTCAGCTCTACGTGGGACACGTTTATCATGTACTCTTTCCCCTCAAAACGCAGAAGAGAGGGTAGAACTTTCTAAGAGCCAAATATAGGGCATACTTGGGTTGAAATTGATTCTTCATTAAATGACATGGCCATGGCACACATGGAGTGACTGCACAGGACCATCAAGAAATGAATAAAATCCCCGCATTAATGGGAGAGAGGATCATGAATACATCTTTTTTTTTTAAAAAAAAAAAAAAGACCTATTTATTAGGTATACAGTCTTCTGTCTGTCTGTATGCTTACTGGTCAGAAGAGGGCACCAGATCTCATTACAGATGGCTGTGAGCTACCATGTGGTTGCTGGGAATTGAACTCAGGACCTCTGGAAGAGGAGTCAGTGCTCTTAACCTCTGAGCCATCTCTCCAGCCCCAATCATGAATACTTCTCCTACCTAAGGAGCCATTGACAGTTTGTAGCTGCTCAGAGTAGGAAAATCAGTTTTCTTCAGGATGTGAGCACTGAGAGGATTCCCATTCTCCAGCAGAAGGCCTCACTCCCACTTATGTGCTGGTAATGCAGAGCGCTCTCTATAGGTATTTACATAGAATGCACTTGAATTTAGGTGGAAAAACTGTCAGGAATGATAAGGGAAGAAGTGGTGATGGAAGTGGTGTGGATTTGATGAAAATACATTCTATGCATGTAAGATATTCTCAAATAATGAATACATACATACATACTCTTATAAATGTAGTGGAGAAAATTTGAATCAAGTTTAAAAACAAACAAAAAAAAAGAAGTCGAGGGTTAGCAGAAAGGGATCTCCCTATCCTTAGTATTTGCAGACTTCCAGCTATACACATAGAGGGAATTCAGTTGACAGTGTGAACTCTTCTATTTCCTCTGGCTTATGTTGTTCCTGTGTCCTTATTGAATGACAATCTGATATCCACCAGCCTGTGTTAATAGGACTCATTTTCCTTCTTTGAACATCAGAGATCTGTAGCCACATTGAGCTTTGAATTCTAAGATCTGTCTAGATACTCTCACTCTTTTGGAATACTCCAGACCATACTGCTCTTGTTGCTGTATAATCAGAGGGTGACTCCTCAGTGACATAAAACTGGAAAACCACTTTATCATGAGAACAGTACACGTGTTGACACTTGAAAACATGTTGGCTGTTAATCAGCAGGCAGGAGGGTGCTGTGTGGATCTCAGACACACCACAGTAACTCTCAGCCTTCACTACAATGATCAACAGATTCACAAATCTACATTTTTACTAGTCCTGTGAGCTAAGGTTCAGAGGTTCCATTCAAACTCCAGCATAATTCTCTAATAAGAAGCTTAGTTTGTGCTTGCCCATGGCTGGACTCTCTTATGTCCTTTCTAGACTAGATTACCTGCTGCCTGATCCTCTAGTGCATAGTTTTCCTGCACTGCTTTTCTCTAAAAATCCAGGATCTGTTCTGAATTTGTGGTAGACTAAATGCAGTATCCATAACCAGTGGGGTTTCTTTCATGTCAATTGCTATATTGCTAAATCTTTAAAATTTTTGTATATTGAAATTTTTATATAATTACTTTCTCTTTTTTACTAAAAAATTGCAGAAAATATATTTTGATCATTTTTTCCTCTCCAACACCTACACTTAAAATATAATTCTCTTATTTCCTCCTCTTTGCCTACCTCCATCTCTATCTTGTCTCCCAGGGCCATTTCCTCTCAAATTCATTTTTTTTTTTTTGGTTTTTCGAGACAGGGTTTCTCTGTGGCTTTGGAGCCTGTCCTGGAACTAGCTCTGTAGACCAGGCTGGTCTCGAACTCACAGAGATCCACCTGCCTCTGCCTCCCGAGTGCTGGGATTAAAGGCGTGTGCCACCATCGCCCGGCCTCAAATTCATTTTTTATAATTATTGTTATTTAGAAAAATTCACACATACAAATAAATAAGTTTATACATATAACCAACTGAATCAATTGTTTGGTGCATAGTATTATTTTGTGTCATTGGAAAAACCTCGGCCCTGAACTCAAATGGGAAAAGAAAGATTTATTCTAGAATCAAATTAATGTGATCATGGCTAGTGAACCCAGATTTAGGTGACTCAAGATCCATGTTCCATAGAGCAGACAATTTCATGAAGATTTCATAGTAAAATATAAAGCAAGTTGTAAACCAAGTAAATTGGTGAATACATCAGCCAGGAGGTCACAGGCAAGTTAGGAAAAATTATCCTACAAGCCCAAGATGACATCTGATGTCATTCTTAGCTTTTAGGTTGTTGGAAGCCAGTGCTCTGCTAAGTTACTAGATTTCAAAGGAATTTTACTCATTAGTTATAGGGGATTAACTCACCTCAAGAGTTGGCCATAAATGACTGTCCATGGTGATGCAGTTAGCCTATAGTAAACTTCTAGATCTACAAAATTCCAACACCTCCACATCACTGAAGCTGATATCGTCCCGTCTCTGTAGATGCAGCTCTTTCCAGGAGTTCTCTTGCATGCATTTATACACATGCATACAGTTATACACATGTTAATTATATGCACACATTTCTACTGCTAAACACTCAGTATATAATAATCCCCAGAACAGACTGATTTCTCCTCCTCTCAATAGTGACTATTAGTCAGTTATGAACAACAGATTCTTTCTTAACAACCATCTAGCTATAGAACTCAAAGTCACATAGTATAAACAAATGTCATATTTTTTCTTCTGCCAACAGGTAGAATCTCTCCTTTAAGAGAACTCAGTCAATTCATGATTTCTCTTACTTGCTGCCAGTAGGGCTAACCAGGCTCTCATCTAACCCAGGTTTTGAAAGTTCCTCCTAAGAACCCCTCTCCAATCACTGAATGCCGTTGGGGAGAGAGATAATTTAGCCCACCTTCCTGCTTCCAAAGTTTCCTTTTTTTCTAGTTTTCAGCTTTCTTTTACTGCCCTCATGAATTTGGGAGCTTTTCCTCTTTTTCATATTCTATTTTCCCTTATTATTTTACTTACTTTGATTCTTTCACTGACAGGAGACTCTACTCACTCATTTAATCTGCAAGTTTGTAGAACAATTTTTTCTTTGTTTACTAGTTTCTGAAATTTCATAAAGATTTCTATTTTATTTTATGTGTGCAATTGTTTTGTCTACATGTGTGTTTGTTCCACATATGTGCCTGGTGCCTGCAGAGGCCAGAGGAGGACATGGATTCCCCAGATAACAGGTGTTGCCATCTATTGTAACCCAAAGACTGGCTGCTGTAACCTGAATCAGAATAATACACAAGAGTAGCAAGTAATTCCAAAAACAAATTATTGAAATATAATGAAATACCAAAAACTTCACTAGCCATGCCATGATGTTCCTGAGCTGTCAGCAGTTTATTCATACAAGTTTTGAATGTCAGAAGAGAAACCAGGATTTAAAGTCCTTTTCCTGAATTTGCTAAGGAGTTTCTGAGACTACTGGCCTGAATGTGCTCATCCTTCTGCCCCACCTCTTTAGAGGAAGATGGAAGAACTACCCATATTTGCTGACCTTATACTTTGCCATTGAGAAGATCAATAAAGATGCCCACCTGCTTCCCAATGTGACCTTGGGTTTCCACCTCTACAACGCTTTTGACTATCACTACAGAACCTTAGAAGGACCTCTGATGCGACTGTCTGGAAGGAGTGAGTTTATCCCTAACTACAAATGCAAAACTCAACACAAAGTTCTAGCAATAATTGCAGGAGTCAGGCCTGAATTTTCTGCTGCAATTGGAACACTTTTAGAACTCTACAAATTTCCACAAGTAAGTTAATAAAATTTTGGTGTCCATAGTCAAAGTGGATAATTGATAAAAGAAAATGGAATAGTTGTCTAAGTTTACTACCAGTGATTAACATAAAAATAAATGAATTACCTGTGTCATGCTATGATCAACAGTAAAGTGTAGTGAAAAACATAAAGAGTAAATACTGTGGTTTTCTAAGAGGATCACTTAGATCACTTCTGCATTGTCTGAAATCATTGTCAAGATGTGTTGTGGCAGCTCAAAGCTAAATGCTGTTCATAAGTCAAATATACATCACAGATAACGAACTGCCCCAACTGGAGTATAAATATCTCACAGTTCATCCAGTGGTCAATGACTAACAGAAAAAGGAATAGAAAGTCCAGGACATGTAAATAAATTTGGAACAATTCTCAAGGCCATCAATTGTTCCAAGAAATTTAATTCTCCATCAGTAAAGTACATCTCTGAATAGCACTGACAGAGAACAGCTACTTACATAAATATAGACCTGCATATTGCTCTTGCCTGGCACTGCTGAAGCAAAGCAACCATCAGCCGGCACCACTGCAAACAGAGGAAACATTAGATGAGCCCTATGCTTAGTAATAATCAACATAAAACCAGACAAAGTAACAACACTATTATAACTTGGTTAAACAACTCATAAATGCATTGCATCCTAATGTAAGAAAAACAATATACACAATAATTTCCATCTTTCCCAGAGATTTTAATTTTACATTAGTTATTGTGTGATGATTTTGTCATATCTATTACTAGAGAAGGAAGAGGCAACAATACTTGATGATGTTCCTATAGATGCTCTTTTCTAAATGGAGTAGCAAAATCTATGATAAAATTTGTTATTTGCTTTCCTAACACTAGAGGTCCTAGGGTAGATGATGTCATGTGGTCAGAGTGAAGCACTTAGTAATACTTATGCAGTCTTTCTCTACGGGCAGTACTCTGTTCCATTTCAATTGGAACAATAAAACTCTATCATGTTCTTGAAATACATTGTTAACAGAATACTGTTCATTTCTTAGCTGCTTCATAACTGTTAGTAACTTGGGAGTTCATAGTATTTGACAAAAACCACATTCCATATTTAGATGAACGAGAGAAGCTATTCTCACAGAAGACATTTTCTTAACCAATATTCAGTTCCCTGATTCTCTTATGTGAATATGAACTCATTTCCTTTCTAATGGTGATGATTACAAATACCTACAAATTCAAAATCACTTTTTTTTTGTTTTACTTCCTTAGGTCACATATGGAATGTTTGATTCTTTTCTAAGTGACAAAGATAAATTTCCATCCCTTTACCAGATATCTCATAAAGACACAGCTCTTACCCAAGGGGTGATCTCTTTATTGCTGCATTTTGGCTGGAAGTGGGTGGGGCTCTTTGTCGCTGATGATCTAAAAGGTAAGGAGTTCATCTCTGGCCTGAAAGCAGAGATGGCATCAGAAGATATCTGTGTAGCTTTTACAGTTAAACTCCCAGCTAATTGGAAGATTCAGATAGTGTCTAAGGTTGAGATGCCAAAGTTAAATCAAGATACACAAGTAAATGTGTATATACTCTATGGTGATATAGATGATATATTGTTTTTCTGCTTCATACATGAAATCATATCAAACAGAAGGAAGATGTGGATCATGACAAAACCACAATTATTTTACTTAGATTCTGAATTATATGAGTTGAATGATTTTTTGGACATTTTTGGAGGAAGCTTCTCATTTTCAAAACATAAAAATATTCCTGGCTTCAAGCACTTTATCGAAGCACTTATGCCCTCCCAGTACCCAGAAGATCTTTACTTCCTTAAATTCTGGATTGACAATTTTTACTGCTCACCTCCTCCTTTACATTGTGGAAAATATAAACTCTGCCCACCAAATATATCCCTAGGGATTAAGCAAGAAGAAAAGGTTGTGATGATCACTTCTGAACCCAAGGTTTCCATTTGGAATGCAGTGCATGCAGTAGCCCATGCCCTCCATAAAATGCTTTTGAGTAAAACAAAAATAGCGCCTCACAAAGCGGCAAACAAGGACAGTCTTCTACCCTGGCAGGTAAGCCAACTCATAACTAAGGGAAGCACTGGGCACTTACATTATTAGTAAGTAATTCATGGTATTCAAACACATAACACATTTTCACCTTATTATTAAAAGAGTAAGGAGGTTGAGCATGAAAGTGTAAAGGGGTTCTTTCACAGTGGGTGTGTATGTGTCTGTAAACATGGTACATGCTTTGGGAAATGGTTGCTTTGCTTTCAAGACATTAATTCTGTACATATTTCAGCAAATAGTTTCCTAGTATGATCTGAAATTCTATAAGATATACAAAAGCAATTACTGTCAAAATTCATAAGTTCAATAATAAAATTTATACAGTTTCATGGAATATTTCTGGTGCCACCATGTAGAGATATAATGACCATATTTAATCCAAGACAAAAGGGTTAAACTTTTTAAAAACATAAAAATAGCCTTCCATAGACTAAAAGTAACATGATGAAGAAATTGCTTTTTATATTTTATTTACTCTGCAGTTATTAAACTTATTTATTTATTTATTTTTGAGAAAACAATATTTCTCATTTTACGTACCACTAACAGTTCCCACTCTTTGCCCTCTTCTCACTCCCCCAACCTTCCCCAGCACTCATCCACTCCTCAGAGAAGGTAAGACTTCCCATGGGGAGTCAACAAAATCTAGCATATTGCTTTGAGGCAGGATCAAGACTCTCCCACTATATCTTGGCTGAGCAAGGTATCCCTCCAAAGAGAATAGTATCCAAAAAGTACAAGCAGTAGGGGTAAATCCTGGTCCCTCTACTAGGGGCCCTACATTCTACCCCAGCCATACAACTGTCACCCACATTAAGAGGGCCTAGTTTGGTCCTATGCTGGTTCCCCCACTGTCAGAATGGATTCAGTGAGCTCCCATACTCTCAGGTAAGCTGTTTCAGTAGGTAACCCCATCATGGTCTGGACCCCTTTGATCATATTATTGTTCCACCCTCTCTGCGACTGAACTCTGGGAGCTCAGCTCAATCCTTCATTATGGATTTCTGCATTTGCTTCAATCAGTTGCTAGATGAAGGTTCTATGATGACAATTAAGGTAGTAATCAATCTGATTACAGGTGAAGGCCAGTTCAGAAACCCACTTGACTATTCCTTAGGTTCTTAGGTGGGGGCACCATTGTGGACTCCTGGAAATTTCTCTGCTGCCAGGTTTCTTGATAGTCCCATAATGGCTCCCTCAATCAAGACAGCTATTTCCTTGCTCTTCCTCTCTTCCTTTTTCCCATCTCGTCTACCCCATTCCCTCAAGCTCTTATCCCCCTCCCATTCTCCTTATGAGTGAGTACATGCCATGCTTGTCATTCTGCATCTGGGTTACCTCACTCAAGATGTTTTTTTCTAGTGCCATCCATTTGCATGCAAATTTCAAGATGTCATTGGTTTTTTCCACTGTGGAGTATTCCATTATTTAAATGTATCACATTTTCTTTATTTATTTTTCGGTTAAGGGGAATCTAGGTTGTTTTCAGGTTCTGGCTATTACAAGTAATGTTACAATAAACATGGTGGAGCAAATGCCCTTGTATTATAATTGAGCATCCTTTGGGTATATGCCCAGGAGTGCTATTGCTGGATATTAAGGTAGGTTGATTCCCAATTTTCAAAAAAATACCACCATACTAATCTAATATCCAAAGTGGTTGTAGGACTTTGCACTCCGAGTAACAATGGAGGAGTATTCCCTTTACTCCACATCCTTCCAGTGTAAGTTATCATTGATGTTATTGATCTTAGCCATTCTGACTGGTGTAAGATGATATCTCAGAATTGTTTGATTTGCATTTCACTAATGGCTAAGGTTGACTAGTTTCTTTGGTGTCTTTCGGTCATCTGAGATTCTTTTGTTGAAAATTTCCTGTGTGGTTCTGTACCCCATTTTTAATTGGATTATTTGGTATTTTGATGTTTGGTTTCTTGAGTTCTTTATATTTTGGAGATCAGTCCTCTATCAGATGTGTGGTTGGTGAAGATCTTTTCCCATTCTGTAGACTGAAGTTTTGTCTTATTGATATTGTCCTTTGCCTTAGAGAAAGTTCTCAGTTTCAGAAGGTCCCATTAATTTATTGTTGCTCTCAGTGTCTGTGCTCTTGGAGTTATATTTAGGAAGTGGCATCTTGTGCCCCTGCATTTAAGGCTACATCTAACTTTCTCTTCTATGGGATTCAGTGTGGCTGGATTTGTATTGAGGTCCTTAATCTATTTGAACTTAAGTTTTGTATATGGAAATAGATATGGATCTATTTGCATTCTTTTACATATAGTTATGCCAAGACCATTTGTGGAAAATGCTTTCTTTTTTCCATTGTATAATTTTAGCTTCTTTGTCAAAATGCAACCAAGGTCTTTGATTCAATTTCATTGGTCTACCTGTTCCTTTTTATGTCAAAAGCAAGCTATTTTCTTACTGTAGCTTGATAATAGAGCTTGATATCAGGAATGGTGAAGCCTCTGGAAGTTCCTTTATTATACAGGGTTGTTTTTGACAATTTTGGGTTTTTTGTTTTTCCATATGAAATTGAGTAGTGTTCTTTTGAAGTCTGAAGAATTATGTTGGAATTTTATTGGGGAATATATTCAATCTGTAAATTGCTTTTGGTAGGATTGCCACCTTTTAATGTTAATCCTACCTATTCAAACTCAGGGAAGATCTATTTTCTGATATCTTCTTCAATTTCTTTCTCCGAAGACTTAAATTTCTTGTCTTACAGGTCTTTCACTTCTTTCCATAGTGTTACTCCAAGATGTTTTATATTATTTGTGGTTATTGTAAATGGTAATGTTCTTGATTTCTTTCTTAGCTCCTTTGTCATTTATATGCATTAGGGCTATTGACTCTTTTGAGTTCATCTTGTATCATGCCATATTACTGAAGGTGTTTGTCAGCTGTAGGAGTACCCTCATAAAATTATCAGGGTCACCTATGCATGCTATCTTGTCATCTGCAAATAACCAAAGTTTGAGTTCCTCCTTTCCAATTTAAAAGCCCCTGATCTCCTTTTGTTGCCTTACTGGTCTTTCTAGAACTTCAAGTGCTATGTTGAATAGATAAGGAGAAAGTGGACAGCCTTGTCTTGTCACTGATTTTAGTGGAATCTCTTTGTGTTTCTCTCCATTTAGTTTGATGTTGGCTGTTGGCTTGATGTATATTGTTTTGTTATATTTAGATATGTTCCCTGAATCCCTCATTTCTCCAAGAGCTAGAAGGGATGTGGAATTTTATTGAATGCTTATTCAGCCTCTAATGAGATGATAATATTGTTTTTTTCTTTTTCAGTTTATTTATATGGTGGATTATATTGATAGATTTTCACTTATTGAACCATCCCTGCATCTCTGGGATAAAGACAACTTAATCATGGTGGATGAATTTTTTATGATGTATTCTTGAATTCAGTCTGGCAGTATTTTATTGAACATTTTGCATCAATGTTCTTGAGGGATATTGGTGTGTTATTCCTTTTTTTAGTTGAATCTTCATGTGGTTTGTGAACCAGGGTAACTGTGGTCTCATAAAAAGAATTTGACAATGTTCCTTTTGTTTCTATTATGTGGAACAATTTGGGGACTATAGGTATTAGCTCTTCTTTGAAGTTATGGAAGAATTCTGTGCTGAAGAAGTTGTTTTGGTTGGGAGAATTTGATAACTGCTGCTATTTCCTTACAGGTAATAAGTCTTTTTAATTGTTCGGCTTGTCTTGATTTAATTTTGATAAATGATATTTATCCAGAGAATTGTCCATTTTTTTACATTTTCCAATTTTGTAGAGTACAGGTTTTCAAAGTATGACCTAATGATTGTCTGGATTTCCTCAATGTTTTTTGTTTTGTCACCCTTTTCATTTCTGATTTTGAAATTTGGATGTTCTCTTTCTGTCTTTTGATTTGTTTGGGTAAGGGTTTCTCTATCATGTTGATATTCTTAAAGGGTCAGCCCTTTGTTCACTGATTTTTTGTATTGTTTTCTTTGTTTCTGTTTTACTAATTTCAGCACTCAATTTGATTATTTCCTGTCATCTACTCCTCCTTGGTGAGTCTGTTTCTTTTTGTTCTGTAGTTTTCATGTGTGCTGTTAAGTTGCTAGTGTGAGATTTCTCCACTTTTTTATGTGGTCACTCAGAGCTATAAACTTTCCTCTTAACATTGCTTTAATGGTGCCCCATAGGTTTGGGTATGCCATATGCTCATTTTCATTGAATTTTAGGAAGTCTTTAATTTCTTATTTGTTTTTTGACCCATAGGTGATCAAATTTAGTATTGTTCAACTTCCATGAGTTTGTCTTCTTTCTACAATTAGTGTTGTTGAATTCTAACTTTAAGTTATGGTGATCCAGTAAGATACAGGGGGTTATTCCAAATTTTTGTATCTGTCAAGGTTTGTTTTGTTACTGTGTATATGGTCAGTTTTAGAGAAGGTTCTATGAGGTGCTGAAAAGAAGATATATTCTTATGTGTTTGGGTGAAATGTACAGTAGATGTCTGTTAAGTTCATTTGAGTCATGACATCTGTTAGTTCTCTTATTTTTTTCTTAAGTTTTTGTGTTACTTACCTGTCCACTGATGAGTAGAGGGTTGAAGTCGCCTGCTACTATTGTATGGGGTTTGATATGTGAATTAATCTTTATGTTACTTGGCTTTTTTCCTTTATAGCTCTTAATATTCTTTCTTTATTCTTATATTTAAGTGTTTTTATTATTATATTGTAAGGGGACATTTTTTGTCCAGTCTATTTGGTGTTCTGTAAGCTTTCTGTACCTTCATAGGCATTTCATTCTTTATGTTGTGAAAGGTTTCTTCTATGATTTTGTTGAATATATTTTCTGTGCTTTGAGCTGAAATTCCTCTTCTTCTTCTACCCTAATGTTCTTAGGTTTGATCTTTTCATGGTATCCTAGATTTCTAGGATGTTTTGGGTTAGGAAGTTGCTGGATTTAACATTTTCTTTAACCAATGAATCTATTCCCTCTATTGCATCTTCAACTTCTGACATTTTCTCTTCCATCTCTTGTATTCTGTTGGTTATGTTTGCATCTGTAGTTCCTGTTTGCTTATGCAGACTTTCCATTTTCCTTGGTTTGTGTTTCTTTATTGACTCTTTTTCAGTTTTTAAGTCTTGAACTGTTTGTTTCACTTGTTTGGTTTTTCTTGGTTCTCTTGGGTTTCTTTAAGAAATTTATTGATTTCTTCCAATTTTTGTTTGTCTCTTCCTCCATTTCTTTAATAAAATTTTCATTTCCTCTTTAAGTGACTCTACTATCTTCATAAAATTATATTTAAGGTTGTTTTCTTCTACATCTTCTGTGTTAAGATGTTCAGGTCTTCCTGTTGTATGACCACTGGATTCTGGTGTTACGATGTTGCTTTTTCAGTTGTTAAATGTATTTTTTGCATCGGCAACTACTCATGTCTTCCTTGAATTGGTGCCGGCAGTGTCTTTGCCTCTTTCTACAATCCTTGCAGTTGGTATATGTGTCTCAGGGATCTTCTCTTAGACCAACTGTCACAGTTGCTGTCTGTGTCTTAGGGAGCTGCTCTTTGTCTGCTCTGTGCAGTCATTTTCTGTGTCTCATGGAACCACTGAGGTCTCTGGGCATGGGGGCAATAGAAGTGGAGTGGGACTTGTAGCCTACAGGGTCTGATTGACAGGGGTTGGAGAAGCCTATCTACAGGATATTTGCCTTCAGACAGGTAAGTTTAGTGGAGGCAGGTGGAGAAGGAGCCTGGAATTTTGCCCCAGGCCTAGGGTCTACAGACTGGCATATCCAGCTGGGGAGCTGGTCACTTACCTCTCAGTCTGCTCTGTGCAGTTGCAGGCTGTGCCTTACAGAGCTGATGAGGTCACTTGGGAAGGATGGGTTTAGGATCAGAGTGGACCTTGTAGCTTACTGGGTATGATCAATGCACTGGGTGGAGCAGTCTACCTGCAGAAGACTTGCCTGATGGCCAGCTAGGAAGCTCCAGTTTATTTATTCCTAAATGAGGTTAAAAAAAAGATGAAACTCAAGACTGTGCATCCATTATTAAAGGTTAGAACACAGATGGTGCTCACACATAGACTTAATCTTCTATTAGTAGTAAGTGGATATGTTTGGGTTTTAAACCAATTCAATAAACCAGTCTTATAAAGTTGGACTCACTTATACTTTTGAGCATTCACCCTCAAATAGGCTATCATCAAGAAGGTTGTTGACCAAGCCAAGTAAACTTTTCATTCAAAGATAAATAAGTAAAAAATTAACTCTGAATGTTTTCTCTATTATGTAGTTTTTTACTATTATGAATAACAATAATATTTGACATAGACTTTGACACAGTTTGTGAACATGGCTTCAACAGATGTGCTATTAGTTATGTTAGTATGTCTCTTGTACATATAATTATTTATAACTTTATATATTATAAGTTGTTAATTAGTTAACACAGCAGTGAATCTCAGAATTGAAGTATTAACCCATTGTATTAATTTAAATATGTAATTAAATGATGCTAGAGGGATAGCTCAGCAGTTAAGAGCACTTGATCATCTTGTACAGGACCCAAGTTTGCTTGCTAATACCCACCTAGTGCCTTACAACTATGTGTAAGTTCGATCTAAAGAATGTGACACACACATATGCCCTCTGTAGGTATCATACATGCAGTTTGTGTCTATGCATACATATAGACAGTACAAAGAAATGAGAAGAACGCATATCTAGGGGCCAGAGATGGCTCCATGTTAGCCATACTTGCTGCTCTTTAGAAGCCCCAGGTTCAGTTCCAAATATACACAAAGCAGCTTAGAGCTGTCTGTAACTCTGCTTATGGCAATCCAGCACCATCTTCTAGCCTCCAACAAATAACTTATACACAAAATTAAAATAAATTATTCCAAAAATAAATATTTTCAAATGCATGTACTGGCTTTGTGGGAGCCTAGCGTGTTTGGATGCTCACCTTCCTAGACCTGGATGGAGGGGGGAGGACTTTGGACTTCCTACAGGGCAGGGCACCCTGACTTCTTTTAGGACTAGAGAGGGAGGGGAGAAGGGGAGGGGGGAGAGTGGGAGGAAAATAAGAGGAGGGGAGGAGGTGGAATTTTTTAATAAATAAATAATTTTTTGAAAAAATTTCTGCATCCTCCCTACCCCACATTTTCCTCCCCGTTCCCCAACTCCCCTCCCCCCTCCCTCTCCAGTCCAAAGAGCAGTCAGGGTTCCCTGCCCTGTAGGAAATCCAAAGTCCTCCCTCCTCCATCCAGGTCTAGGAAGGTTAGCATCCAAACAAGCTAGGCTCCCACAAAGCCAGTACATGCAGGAGGATCAAAACACAGTGCCATTGTCCTTGACTTCTCAGCTGCCCTCATTGTCTGCCATGTTCAGAGAGTCTGGTTTTATCCCGTACTTTTTCAGTCCCAGTCCTGCTGGCCTTGGTGAGCTCCCAATAGATCAGCCATTGATCCTAATAAATAATTTTTAAAAAAATTAGTTAAAGCACTGACGTAACATGAGGGCCAACTTGGGGTTTCTGATCCACCCAGTACCCCACAGCTGGCAAGTCCCAAAGAAAATCACACAGAGAGTCTACATTAGGTTATAACAGATTGGCCTATTAGCTCAGCCTACTTATTAGCTCTTGTAGCTTATATTAACTCCTCATTCTTATCTATGTTAGCCACATGGCTCGGTACCTTTCAGCCAGGTAGGTTACATCTTGCTTCTCGGTGGTCTGGGCTGGAATGGGGAGGGATGGGCTTCCTCTTTCCCAGAGTTCTGTTCTCATCACCCCACCTCCACTTCCTATCTGGTTGACCCATCTATACTTCCTGCCTGACCAATCACTGGAGGTATTGGCTGTAGCCATTTTTATTGCCACAACTCTATGGCATTTTAAGGTCCCTGCCAGCAAGCAAGCTGCAGCATTCTGCTCACAGACCATATTCAAATGCTCTGTAGTCAGATCACCTGCCTGAAAGAGTCAAAAGTTGCTCTGGCAGGACAACCCAGAAAGCCGGCATTTTAAAATGGTGCAGCTATTTTCCTGCTATGGTTGAAAACCAAAAAGCATGCGGTCAACTTTTCATCAATACCATTTAAGTGTTTTGTGGCAAGACCTTTAAAAAGAGTTGCAAGGTTTTGCAGCAAAGCTGAATCAGGAAGCATCTCTTAGATGAGAGTGCTTGCTTGCCTCTAGCAAGCAGGGCAGATTCAAGAAATTGCTGCTACCAAGAAAACATGCTTTATTCTAGTCTTTCCCAAGCTTTCTCGGGCTTTCTGTGGATGAAATTATCTGCTAGCTCAGTCGAATAAGCTGGCCCTCATGTTACACACTGAATATTTGGATTTTAATTTGCATCCAATAATGTTCATACTAAATTTAAAAGGCAAGTTATGTGATTGAAAGTAAACCAATGAAGAATGGAGGGAGTTAGTAGGTCTCTTCACAGTTTCCTGAAGCATAAATGACAAAATTTCTGAATATTTAATATATATTTTTATGAATTAGGAGCTTTTGTATGAACTTCTGCTGATATTCTAAGGTCAAGATACTCTGTATATCTGCATGTATTCCTATCTACTTAACTATCTATTCAGACATATGTTCATTGTGTAGTATTAAAAGATAAATATCTTAACACCTGTACACTCAAATACATAGTGTTGCTTACATTCTTACTTCAGTTTTGTTCTAAAACATGTATATTGTTTAATTGGAGACACAGGGCCTTGGTTCTACTAAGAACATGCTTCCAACTATGCTATGTTTCACCCCTTAGATGCCATTTCTATTTATGTTCAGCTACTCCAACTTTAGTTTCATGAGAAGCGAAGTTCATCTCTCTGGAACAACTTGGGAGACAATGATTCAAATGAAGCCTTTTCAAAAAGAAAACCAGAATAGAGAGAGAGAATTAGAATTGTTCTTAGGAACAATCAGTGAGACACTGGTATGCACCACTCATGGCCAAATGATGTCTCTCTCCAGCTTCATCCATTCCTGAGGAAAATTCAATTTACAAGCACTGATGAAGACCAAATATTCTTTGATGAGAAAAAGAAACACGTGGAAAAATATGATATACAAAATTTTATGGTACATTCTAATCATACATTTCTAGTTAAAGTAGGAGAGTTTGTCTCCAAGAGTCCACAAGATCAAGGCTTGTTCATCAATGAAGTTATGATCAAATGGCCAAGAAACTTCAATCAGGTCTGGCAAAATTTCAACCTTTAATATGCTGAAAAACATCTAAAAGAGTTCTGTGAATTGTATGATGTCTCTTTGAAATTTTCAAATATTCTTTTTTATAATTTATATTATTTTTTTAAAAAAAGAAAACAAACTATCTTTGTTCATATTACATACCAATCCCACTTCCTCTCCTCCTCCCATGATGGAGGTGGGTCTTGTATCTTATCTGTTGCTTTCATTGGTTAATAATAAAGAAACTGCCTCGGCCCTCATAGGACAGAAAATTAGGTAGGTGGAGTAAACAGAAGAGAATGCTGGGAAAAAGAAACTTAGTCAAGGAGTCGCCATGATTCTCCTGCTCCAGACAGACACAGGTTAAGATCCTCCCTGGTAAGCCAGCTCGTGGGCTACACAGAACATTAGAAATGGGTTAGAACAATATGTAAGAGCTAGCCAATAAGAGGCTGGAACTAATGGGTCAAGTTTTTATTTAAAACAGTTTTAACTCTTAAGGAAAAGCTAAACTGGCATGATACATACTCACTGGTACGCATTTACTACACACGCGGTCATTTCCCTGTCTTTCCCGTTAGCACAGAGGGCAGCACTTACTCCTTTAACATGGTTTTCCCCACTCTGGTTTTTGTTGAAACCAGGTTATTTAGAAGTAATGAAACATCTTTAGTTATTAAGAGTGAAAAAAAAAACCTTACGATATCTTTTTTTTTAATATAATTTTTTTATTGAAAAAAAAAAAGATTTCC